CCCTCCCCACACACACCCTCCCCCCCCTTCAACCCCACCCCCCAACACACACACACACTCCCTTCAGAAAGACTTCAATCAAAGGTAAAGAACATCGTCATCTCCTCTCGTCTGGAGTGAAGTCTGACCTCATGAAACAGGATTGTCAATAAAAAAGAAATTGTTCTCTGACTGGTGAAACCTGAAAATGACGGAACATTTGATGTGACTGACACATCGAGAAGAGGAAGAACGGGAGGAACAGAAAGAACTGATAAAGAGAAAGAAAAGATGAAAGTAATCCATTAGTGAAGAAGAAAAGACACACACACACTCACTCCTCCAGGAACACTGTGCTTCACTCTGACATCCATGTATTCATGTCCGCCCACAGCTGCCTGCTGTCCTTTCAGTATTTTCTATGTGTGTGTATGTGTGTGTGAAACTCACGTAGCAGATACTCTGCAGCGTCTTGGTCGTAGTCTGCGTCCTCCGGGAAATGATTGATCTGAGAACAAACCCCTCTTTTCAGGCCTGAGGAGGAGAGGAGGAGGAGAGGTCGGAGTTAAAAGAGAGGAGGAGAGGAGGTGGGAGTAAACAGGGAGTAACAGTGATGGAGATGCTAAAAGCAGTGCTTAAGAACTAAAAAGAGCTAAAGCCTAGCTAGTGGTTACCCTCCAGACAACAGATCCTCCAGAGTCCAGAGTGGGTCAGAGCTCCCGGGTCCTTCTTGTCCTTGCTGGACTCCTGGTCCTGGTGCTGTTGGCTGGAGTTGGTGGTACTATTACAGATGAACGCACGGGCGTACAGCCAGTAATCGGTACCAATGGCCACAGTCATCAGGGCAAAGGCAGCAAAGGCTCCCATGGTGGTGAGAAGGACCTGGATCCCACGCTCACACCACAGCATGGCTGGACGAGGGAGGAAGCTGACGTCTGAAGATGAAGATGAAGAAACACAAACATCTGTTGAGCTTCAGGATCTTTCCACAGGACGATGAAGTGAAGAAAATAAATCTTTGCTACAGTTTTATTCATATTTGAACCACAACCATAAACCCTGAGCATCAGCGTGGGCACAGGAATTATTCTGCTCATTTACCATGTCTGTTTCCATGGCAACACAAATCCCAAAATAACAAGTGTTGACAAGAACTCTCACCCTAACGACGTCCACAAAGTCAGAACACACATGGATGGAGACTTCTGTCCTGGAATATTATTCTAGAACATTCTCAGTCAGTCCTTCTTTAATGTCATTCATGACTTTATTCCCTCTGATCCTCGGAGGCTATTCTCACTGAAGGATTCAGTTTATTCCACATTCTGTTGTTTTAAGAACTCCAACAAACTCTGGTTTAAAAGTTCATCAAAACAGATTCTGAAACACACACACACCAGTCGTGTGTGTGTGTGTGTGTGTGTGTGTGTGTGTGTTACCTGAAGGCATGCTCCTGCTTTTTCCTTCCATCTCCTCCTTTGATGACGAGTCTTCTGCTCTTTGTCTACTCCTCTTTTTCCTCTTCTTCTTCCTCCTTTACTCTCTCCTTACTCCTCTTGCTCCCTTTACCTTGAGTGCTCCTTGTCTTCTCTTCCTGAGCGCTCTGATCCAGCATAAAAAAGGAGGAGGAGGAAGAAGGTGGACGCATCACTCGGCTCTTTCCTCTCATTGAATTGTCATGGCAGCACAGAGGGAGGGGGGAAAGGAGTGGGAGGAGGAGAGGAGTGGGAGGATGGATTTGATGAAGGACGTGACAGGAGTCTGGAAGGATTGGGTTGAGAGAACAATGTTGATCCAAAAGTGATAGTGATGATGATGATGATGAAGATGATGATTAATCATTTAAATTTGAACAGAAAGAAGATCACCCCAATGATGATGAGGGAGAAAGGGAGAGATAATGAGAGGGGGAGGGAGGGGGAGAGAGAGAGAGAGAGAATAAAAACCTAGATTGAGAGAGTGTTCTATTTCATTACCATGGCAACAGTGAAATCCTATATTAGCGTGTGTGTGTTTGTTACAGTGTGTTTGTTACAGTGTGTGTGTGTTGTCTTTCCTTGTTTCCTCACTCTTCTTCATTCCTTCTCACTTACTCACAGTCCTCACAGCTGTGACTGACAGAAGACAACAGGGGGTTGAATGGGTCTGAGTTTGACCCAATGATCCACCTGGTGGTGAACAGGGTGACCTGCAGCAGACCTGTGGTGAAGAACTTTCAACAGAACAGCTTAGGCAGAACAAAAAAGAAAGCAAAGAACAGAGTCTATGATGATAGGGTTGATGTTCTGGGTTCAGACAGACAGACAGACAGAAGTGTAAGGACAAACATCTGCTGCATCAGGAAAAACAACGCCTGGAATGAATACAGAGCAGCTTTAGCAGCAGCATTAGCAGCAGCTGTACCTTTAGCATTAGCAGCACCAGTACCTTTAGCATTAGCAGCAGCATTAGCAGAAGCAGTACCTTTAGCATTAGCATTAGCTTACATGCTTTGACAACTGAAGCATGATGGGATGCATGATCTTGTCACTTCTTTTTTGATTTGACAAACATATTGGAGTACTGACACAAAGTCAGCAGTAGGGTTAGTGAGCGCCACCTACAATGAGAACAAGACAATGACAGGACATATGGTTCTTCGAAGTGATTTCATTCATGGATGTGAAATACATCTTTGTCCAATCCAAACCAGTAGTTGTATAACCATATGAAATAGTACCAGGAACTTTTAACAGAAACTTGTTTATTATTATTATTGTTATTTTGAATAGAAGAAAAAGTACTAGGAACTCAGAACTTTACTTTGTATTTTTAAATAGTTAGTGGAAAAGCTTCTGAAAGAGTTCCTCCAATCATCATGCAGAAAGACCAGCTCCCACACCAGCTCCCACTGCTCCATCGGTTCCACCTAAAGACCAGCTTCAATTTAAACAACGATCCGTTGATGTCTTTCATGGTGATAATAAAGATTCTAGACTCTAGTCTCCAAAGTGAACATAAGGATCTGTCCAGTGCTGCTCCACTGACTCCCACTGGAGGACCTAGTCTGACAGTTGACAGGTTCTAGTCAATTTTAGTCAATGACAGGTCAATAAGACTGGAGAGAGTTGACCTTTGACCTGAGGACAGGACAGAGGAACGGTTCCGTGTGATGTTCTAATGGAGTGGCCTGAATGGTCACAGACTGACATGAAATAATTTTGGATTTTTTTAAAACTCTTAGATCACATCTGATAAAACAACACTGTGAAGCTGTGGATGATACTGCTGCCTCACAGCAAGTGGGTCAACTGTTTGACTGTTGACCCCCTGTTGACTCCACTGTTGTCCACATCCTATTGGTAGATGTTGTTTGTCCCTCCCTCTGTGTGTTGCTTCACCACACACTCCTCACACACTCCTCCCTCTGTGTGTTGCTTCACCACACAAGCTCCTGCTCACTCCTAGCAGGGGGAGGCTCTCATTCTCATGTGTGAGCGATAGTGAGGAGGAGGAACAGCTGAGGGAGGAGCAGCCCAGGGCAGGGTTAAGGCTGGGGGCCCACTGGGGTTGGGATAGGCCCTAGGTAAGGTGGAGGTAGCATCTGGGTGGAGAGGATGTGGACAGGAAGAGAAGGTGGAGGAGGAGGATGCCGTCTGCAGCTGAAGATGGGAACTGGCTGAAGAAGAAGGAGCAGAGGAGGTGGGTGGAGTTGGCTGAGACAATCCTCCTGGTCGTGCTCCTCCTTTACCACTGGAGTACTTGGGCCAGGCCTTTGAGGGTGGAGATTGGTTGAGTTGGATGGAGATGTCGGAGGAAAAATCTGAGGAGCTACGACCTCGCTGTTGAGGAGGCCAGAAATCAGGGTGGAGGAACTGCCTGCTGTAGTCACTGCAGTTGGACACACGAGGACGGTAGAAAGTCGGATGAGGATGGTAGAGGTCTTCCTCAGTGTAGCGTTTCATGAAGAGGTAAACAGACATTACTCCTGCCCCCTGCAGGACGAAGGCGGGGAAACAAAAACACAAACATTCAGATGAATCTAGTTTTAGTCCAAGTAAAGTTGGAGTCAGGACTGGACTGGACCAAAACGTCTTTTGTAGAAACCTCTGACAGAAAGGGAAGGCGGAGGATGAAGAGGAAACGAAAGAGGAGTAGGAGGGAAAGGTGGAGGAACATTCCTCTTTTTCATCGTGTGTGTGTGTGTGTGTGTGTGTGTGTGTGTGTGTGCTTTGCTGGATCTCACCTCTTTGAGCAGGAAGGATGACGCAGCAAAGGCGAATGACCAGCCATAGTGATAGTGGAAAAACTGTTCTGGTTCTCTTGGTCTGTTCATCACCTCATCATTAATACTGGAGATGTAGAGAACCAGACCCACCACCAAACTGAGACCTGGACACAGGTTCACACAGTCCACATCAGAGGCTCAGTAAACCACCATCTGTACCACAACAGGTTCTAAATCCCATCTTCAGCAGCAGAATCACCTGACAGGATGAAGAATATTCCAGAGACAAAGGCCAGAATGGTGCACTTCGGTTTAATGTGTCCCACGCTGCTGACCACAAAGGCGGTGAGGACAAAGAGCAGCGACACCATGGGGAAGGGCGTGGCCGTTCTGACCATTTCTGCAGACAGTGGTCAGAAACAACATGTGGCGTCAGTCGTCAAACTGTGTGATTGACTCAAACACTGTTGTCAAATTAAATAAATTATTTTTTCCTAACACTGCCTGTAACACTGCTGGTTACACGTTAGCTCTTTCCTGCTTCGGCGCCCTGACCGTAGTTCAAATGCATAGGGGAGACTTAGTGATCCTCTCCAGGGTCGAAGCTAACGTTAGCTCCAGGGCTAACTCCCTTGACTTGGTGCTGGTCCACAGCAGAGGTGAACACAAACAGGGGGTTTGGGGTCTTATGGGGTCGTATTAACTTCATGTAAAACTCCATCAATTAGCTGCATCATTGTTTAAGCCACAGGGTTCAAAGGGTGTGAAAAAAGTAGGTGTTTATAGTCCAGAAATTGAGAAATTAGCCTACATATAGTTTTTACATACCGTTCACATTCAATGACTTCGAGCTAAGATTCTCAGACTCAGAACAGAACCTGAATCCAGAAACAGCACAGTGTCTGCAGTTGTTGATCCACTGCTGCCTTCACCATAGTGACAAAAACTGACCACAGGAGGCAGCAGTGGACCTAGAGCTGTTCTGTCTCAGTGAGCTAAAATCAATGATCAATCAGTTTCTCTATGAAACTTTAGAATTGATTACTCACTGAGGATGTTGGCTGTGTTTTCTGTTGTAATCTCAACCTCTGGCTCAAGGAAATATTCTGAGGACACACATCTGTCCTTCTCTGGTCCTGAAGGGAAAAGGACAAGTATGAGAGTTATAGTTAGCCTGGGTACAGCTTAAGGCAGAAAACAAGCTTAAATTATCTAACGTGCTAAAGTTGGCTATCAAGCCAATGTCAGCTAATGTACTAAGGTCAGCTAACATGCTAATGTCAGCTAACATGCTAATGTCAGCTAGGGGTTCCTTTTGAATGCCAATGTTTTGAAAGATCAGTAAAACCAGACCTGCTACAAAGCAGACTCTCCATAGACCAGAATGCAGAGCCATCTTCACCTCCATGCTCTGGTTCTGCTGCAGGACCACACCCTCCTCCATCAGCAGCCAATAGTCTGTTGAAACCGCCACGCCCACCAGGAGGAGACCACAGGCTCCAAAGACAGAGGAAAGCAGAGTCAGAGCTTTGCTACTGAACCAACTCATCTGAAAATCACACAAAAAAAGAAACAGAAGAAATAAAACATACACAGATAATATATATCCACCAAAACTCACATGATAAAAAAGGTAGGAATAAAAACGTGTATGTATATAGAAACACTCAAAAAAAAATTAGCCGTATAAGCTCAAACTTTTGTTATATGTAATTTATGCTCAACCATACAATAAACACACTCGTATTAAAAACACACACAAATCATAGAAACACATTTTAAAAAATGAAGACAAGGTGGACTTAAATGTAACAGTGGGGTGAAATGCCCCAGCACTAATTTAGCTGCATCATTGTTTAAGCCACGAGTGACAAAAACTGATTTTCTCCATGGACTTTGGTCTGAAGTAAAATCTCGGATTTCCTTTTTTAAAATTAAACTTTTTCTATGTGTAATATTGTATGTTATATAAATAGAACAAAGACATACTAGACTATAGAACTTAGGTCAAAGTGATTAGGTCCAATCAGAGAACAAACAGTTCAACCTCTTTATCCTGCCCCTTTTTACTCTTCTTCTTTCTCCTATTTCCTCTCCTCCACCCTATGGTTTGAACTTTCTCACACAACATCCCCAGTTCTTCTTCTTCTTCTTCTCTCTCTCTCTCAATCCCACACACACACACACCCACACACACCCCCACACACACACCCCCACACACACACACACACACACCCCCCACACACACACACACGCACACGCACACACACACACACACACCCCACACACACACACACACGCACACGCACACACACACACACACACATACACACACACACCATTGTGACCACTATTCCCCCTTTTCCTCCTCCTCCTTACTGCGGGAGTTCCTGATCTGCAATACCAAACCAAGACACTAAACCAGAACCAGACCAAGGACCAGAATCAGAACCAATTCCAGAAAAACAGTAAGTCAGACTGGACTTAAACTGATGTCAAAAGTGAGAAGAGAATGAAAATAATTCATGGACAGATTTATGAAACCCTCAAATAAAATATAAATAATAAAATGACTCACCCTGAGCAGCAGCAGCAGCAGCAGCAGCAGCAGCAGCAGCAGCACTGGACTCAGATGAAGTCGTTGTTGGAAAAACAGTGTGAACTCTAGTGAATCCTGGACTCACTGCACAGTTCCTCTCTCTCTCTCTCTCTCTCTCTCCCCTCCCCTCCCCCCATTTCTCCAGGACTGCAGAGAATCAGCTGAATGAACTTGACTATATTTTTAGGGGGAGCACTGCTCTGAGTATGTGTGTGTGTGCTATGACAGAGGGAGAACAGCACAGTAAGGCTGAAGGGAAAATGAATGCCACCTATTGCTCCTGTCTGTGGGGCCAACATAACAAAGCTGTTCTAGCGGGCCAACCTATGGAGTGTGGTCACCGGGTATGCAAAGGCTCAGATCTGCTGTCCAACATCAGCTCTTGAAAAACCAAGTTCCTATAGTTTCAAAAATACTTTGTTGGAGGGGTTATATAACCTATTTTCTGGGCCTAGATCAAGGATGAACAAGTTACATGTGGGCCATGAAGAAAAGAAGAAGAAAGTGAATTATTTGTCATTGTGACACAGCACACCACAGCACACAACGAAATGTGACCTCTGTTTTTAACCCATCAACAAAGTGAACAGTGAGCAGCCTAAAGTTGCCCCGGGGAGCAGTGTGTGGGGACCGTGCCGTGCTCAGGGCATCTCAGTGGTAACTTGGCAGCTGGTGGACTCGAACTAGGAGCCTTTCGGACCCAAATCCGCTTTTTTAACCACCACTGCCCCAGATGAAGCTGCCACCTAATGTTGAGCCACACACCACCCCAAGGCATTGGTGGATGAGAGTTAATATCTATTAAAAAAAAAATCAGAGATTTTAGTTCAGACCAAAGTCCATGGAGAAAATCAGCAGCCTAAGCTCATTGAACATAGACCACAGTCGTTGTCTTTGTGCTAAAATCAGTGCTTTATCTAAACAGTATAGATTGCAGCAGGTTCAGTGTTGGACGGTGGGAAACGTAGGATTATCATACCAGAGCCATATAATTATCGTAAGTTAAGGGATATTATCGTACACTGTCATAACAAAAATTACAAGTTTAATGATGTGCTATAGTCACGCTAGTGTTTATTAGCATTGAAGAAGCATTAATGACTTTGTAGCGTCAGGAATGGATTCCCAATGCAGTGAACATTCATTCATTTCTACATTTCTGTAGTTCTCTGCAGACTTTGTGTCATTTACTTTATTTTATTTCTTAATTTCTTGTTGTCATTATGATTTACTGTGGTTTTTAGTACGTTATTTTGGCCACTAGCTCTGTTTCTACCACAGTAGGTTTTGCTGTGGGACGCCGCAACCGGTGTCAGTCATCCGGCAAATTGGCACTCTTTACTACAGTCCGTTTATAGGGCGACGCTGCTGCTTACTTTTACTGCCTTCTCTCCTCCTCCTCGAGGGTCTCTTATTGTCACTTGGTTATTCTTCTTTTTCCTCTTCCCTTGATCCTTTATTTGTTTCCAATTTTTAGCAATTTCTTCGATCGACTCCCGTCCGGACCCCGCCGAACCATCTCGGGCACACAGCAGATATTCAGCCAATCATGCCCATAGTTCTGAGGCCAAAGCATGGACGTCATTCTTAGCTCACATTTAGTTAAGTACGATTGGCTGGAAAGTTGTCACGTGGAAACAGATGCCTTTAGGGTTCACCAAAAATGTCCGGCAAACAGTTGTGGCATGCTGAATACAACCAGACATTCACGGAATGGTCAAATGATCGTGTAACTGGACCTTTTGAGGATAGTGAGGCAGTTACCTCCATTATTCCATGGTCTATAAAAATCTGTGGATTCCTTGGTTTTATCTCGTAGTCCACCTTCAGTCTGCTGACTTTAGCTTGTGAGCTAATATCACGGATTTTGTTATGGGAACGATAAACCAACCTTCATGTATTTGGGGGGCAGGCATGGCATCGTCATTCGACATTCACATGTCCATCCGTGCATTGTTTATGTATGAGATCACACAGTATTCGTCAGTACGTGGACCAGCTAGTACTGCAGTTCTTTCTGCTGCAGCTTCAGACTCACATCAATTATGTGTGATCAGAAACTGCACTGGAATAAAAACAGTGTAAATAAAACATCATCATCATCTGCAGAAGTGAAGAAGTGCTGACGCAGAAGTCACTGATGCTTGGAGATGAGAAAAGGTCATAAAGTCATTAAACCAAGATTAAAAACACCAGGGTGTTCCTCTGCTGCTGAGACCACAACACCAGCACTGCTTTTCATTTTCTTTTTAACCTCCTCTGCTGATGGTTCTCTCAGGTTCTCTGTCTTCACCCACTGACAGGAACCAACCATTAAAGCAGTAAAACAGAGAAACTGGAGGTTTGTTCATTTTCTTAATCTTCGAGAGTAAAACACGACAACAAACTAATCCAACAACAAACAACACTCCAGACGTTGGTTCTTTATTCAAACCTTTAATGATGCTCTGCTTGTGGTGCACTGCAGTACCATCATCTGACCATTGGAGTCATCATCACACCAACTTCTTCTGTTTGGCACTGATGACAGTACAGTGAAAAACCACTAACCTCAGTCCCATCACTGACACAAGACCTTCTGCGCAGAGGAGCAGAGAGGGGGTCTGGACCCACTGATGGACAAAAAGTGGTCCACACCAGGGCTGAGACTGGGTCCCCAGGGTTTACAAGCAAGGTTGGGGATGGCAAACTGAGCTACTGTGGCTAAGGCTGGGCCACAAAGGTTCAGTACGGCAGAACTTCACAAGACAAACCCTGGTTTGGATCACATTTAGCTCCAGCCTCTGACAAGTGACCCGTTCCAGTGTGACCCAAAGTACTGTGTACAACAAACTGAGTTTGTAGTGTGATCACACACGTGTGAAGTTGTTCATCCTATGACTGGCAGCTGGTGCTGCGACTTTCCTCAGATTCGGGACTTAAGGATGAAGGGTGACTGATTGACGGGTCAGAGGTCATCGTCCACAGGTTTGTTGGACCTGAAGGGTATGGAGCCTGGACCTGTGTGCTATCGTTACATCTGTAGCCCTGGATGAAAGACACATACAACTTTGTGCAAAGGTTTTAGGCAGTTCTGTTACATGACCACCAGAGGGGGACTTGTTTGGTCGCTCACATGGTGTCTGTCACTGGGTAAAAATCAAACTTTTCTTTCTTCACAGCATGTTTATGGAGCTGCCAAAACAATTGCACACAGCAGTAAAGAAAGGCCCCTGTGGGTGAAGACACACACACACTCACCAACAGTGCTACAGTGACANTGTCACAGCATCAGCCCATGGATGTGGATGGTGGGCAAAAAAAACACAGTTCTGGTTCTGGTCTCTGTTTTCACTGGGGTTGAGAAACAGGCAGATGAGCGTGTGTAGGGGAGGGGTTACTATGTGGGGGAGGGGTTAGCAGAAGACAGGTGCATTTTTATTGGTCTTTAAATGTAGCAGACAAACTCAGGGAAGATGAGTTTTTAGCCTCTTCAAATATGCTCTCTACATTTTCTGACGTCTTTTTCTTTTTTATGATGGAATAAAACAATAAAAAAATCTAAATAGTGACAAACATGAGGTGAGGGACAGTCATTGGCTAAAGTTCACCCTGTTCCCTGCTGTCAGCATGACCACAGTTAGCTAAGTGTTAGCTCACTATTAGACAACATGAACAGGAAATGTTTTCATTTCTCGTCAGGTCACAGGAGGGTGGATTTTTAACAAAACTAACGTTGACCTTTTAAACTAACTGTGTCAGTCTTTCTGCCACTGGAACCTTTGACCTTTTTCAACCCTTCTCTGTGGTTTGTGTCCAAATGAGGGATCAGTCGTGAGAAGTTAGAACTTCCTTGGTGTCAAAACCTGTCTAGTCAGTAGGACTGTTAGCTTTAGCTTGTCACCAGTCATAAGACACATGATCACTGTCTTCTACTGTTACCCTGCTACAAGCACCTCAGATTATGTTGAATATCAGGAGGGCAGTTCTCGGTGCGACTCGGTACCGTCCCAAGAGCCTACAGTGAAATGACTTTCTTCTTTTACAGCTGTGTCTCAGAACTCTGAGGAAACATGTTACTGGCAAAGTGACAACAGGGAAATGGGTTTATTTCTAAGTTTTGCCAGAAAATCTATCCAAAGATGTCAGTGAAAAAACACGGAACTTCATTCGGTAAAGAAAACAGAACAAAGTTTGACCTGTGGCTGTGGAACAACTGACAACCTGTGTCATGTTCATGTAAAGAACAGAACGTTATTTGTGGTAATAAACAACAATTTTCTAACACTACCCACCGCCACAAATATAGATACCACAAATATAGATATATATATATATATATATGTATATATATATATATATACATATATATATATATATATGTATATATATATATATATGTATATATATATATATATATGTTATATACTGTAAGTATTTTTACTCTTTTAAAAATAAGAAAGTCAGACAAAGGTTACACAACAGTTTGTTCAAATCTAAGGTTCTCTTTTCTTTTCTTCAACTGAAGTTAATTATGGCTCAGATGCAGATCCAGGCGGACGAAACCAGCAGACGATAGCGTTAAAGCTGCTACAACAGAAAAACAACGCAGCACAACAATGTCTGGCTTCTGTCACTGGTGGACATTAGGGCCTACGTGGACGTGACGTTGGAGCGTAACTGCTGGTGTCAGCTAGGTGAAGGGTTTCAAAGCTAAAGCTGTTTGTCACCTGTTAACATGGTGAAAAATCAGTACAAAAAATTGCACATGAGGTGCTAGCATGTCTTTCACACGCTTAAGTTCACATTTGGCACCACAATGTCTCTGTGCTGCCTCGCCCTATCGCTAGCTAACATCATGCACCATAGGCACAGTCTCTTTGACATCAACATGGCACACAAGATTTAGTTTGGCATCATAATCTCACATCAACCAAACTGGCTCAGTAAAATAATTCCCATGCTAATGTAAGCGTAGCACTTGTCTAGCCAAAGGCTAGCCTTGGGCACTGGGTATACAGTACTGAATTGTATACCCAGTGCCTTTTGTCCTAGCATGGCTAGCCTCATCTTGCCTCAGACAAAATAATTTGATTATCCACCCATGTTAGCATGAGATCATAATAATCCCAAACATGTAAACATACTGCCTTGTTTGTATATATCATCGTGTCCAAACCTTATAATCCAAACATGTTTTTGTCAGGAATCAGGCTGCTTCCAGAATAGTTAATCCAAACATATAATACCAGACACCATAATCCACTTGTTTAAGCCCAGACACTCCCTTCAAATTTGGTGAGGGGCGAACAATATTGTCCTACAGAAGCTAGGTAGTTGAGAGAACTTTTCATAGTTTTCAAACGGTAGAATGGCACAGTGCTAGCATTGTACAGGACATAAAACATGGATCGGATAAACATCGTAAAACACCATCATAACATCATAACATTAACAACATCAACAACACAGGTCTAAACAAAGATGGTTAACGTACCAACTCAGCAGATGTTCTATCTTGTATTGCTCAGTAAAAAGAACATATTGAATCCACTCAGTGTTGAAATGTGTAACGGAACCCGAACAGTGCCATTGAAGTGGCACAGACACATTTGGAACTTTACAAGGGTTTGTGAGCAGCTTGTTCAAAAGCAAGCAGAAAAAATAATCAGTCACAGTTGACTTTTACCCTGTCATCAAGAGTACTAACAAACACAGAAAATACAGAAGGAGAATAACATCAAAGAGGAGCCGAGAGCGATAACGAAGAAATCAGGAGTTCAAATGGGTTCTAGGAGGAAAGAACCTTCAAGAATAGGTAAAGAACAGAAATGGTCAAGGAGAGTTCAAGGTCAAAGGAGAGGAGGTTCACAGACTACACAAAGAGACAAAGAGCATGTCTCCACCCCCAGAACTAGAACCAGATCCTAAGTGTAGTAACAGGATCCACACCTGTTCCCTCCCCAGAGACAGGGAACTGAATGGAAGTTCTAGGAGTGTAGACACTGATAGGCCAGTTAAAGACTTCAGTTTTTTAACTGTAGCAAGTCTTGTTAGAAGTATAAACAAATACTTGCTCAAACTCAGATGGCTGAAAACAGTCTGAAACCTGGACAGTGTTTAAGACTTGGTACCTTTGAAAGATACAGGAACTATTGGCAGGAGAAGATCAGACTGTAGGCCAACTCTAACCCTCCAACTTTCATCTAGTTCTTTAAAAGATATTTTCTGACACTAAAGGTTACCAGTCTTACTCAGTGGGAACAGTGGTTTTTACTCTCATCCCCTCCCGAGACAGAAAAGAACTCATATGAACAAATGTTCCTGGGGGGTGGGGCACAGTTGTGCAGCAATGTAAACAGTTTGTGTATGAAGTAAAGAAAAAAAACTCAGTTTTAAAGGCTTCCAGGAGCAGTAAGCTAACATTAGTACAACGTTCCAGAACCCTCAGTTTGCCTCAAGTATCCTCTGAATTTTCCTTGCACTACATCAGAGTTCGACCTGCCTTCACAGCTGCTCTAGTCCTTTTTTCATTATTTTCCTGGTGTTGAATCCTTTACATCTTAAGAAGAACTACAAGAAATCCACAGGAAGCTGTGTTGAGTTTGAACTAGTCTCCCTGGTTTTTATTGTGCAGAAGTGTGAGAAGGGGCTCAGTGTGTCTACTGTCTGACTTCACTCTCTAGGCCATGCTTGGATTCACAATACCAACTGCATCAGGACCATTTTCACTTGGTTATTGGTTCAACTTAAATCATCTCGACCTTCAGACCTCGCTCTCCACACTGGAGAAATGAGCAGATCCCCTTCTGGAGCACAGGCTCTTGGCTTTGAGTGGTAAGTGAGGGGACTGTGGAAACCGGTGGGGCTGCGGAACGGAGCGCAATCTCTGGTACTGCAGCTTGGCACTTGCTGAAGCCATGGAGGAGGACTGGGGTGCACCAGGAGTGGAAGAGACCACAGATGGAGAGGACACAGAAGAGGACGATGTATGTGGGGGGGCATGGATCGGATGACAAGAGGATGGAGGAGCTGGAAGGGCAGGTAGTGGCGAGGGGAGGGTGGGTGTGAGGGTCTGCGTTGGTGATTGCTGTCGTCCACGATCCCGGTCTGTTCTCTGCGCACGCTGCTGGTTGCTGAGGTTTGACTGGCTGGCTGATTCAGACTGACTCTGTGAGCGATCAGGTTTTGAGGAGGAAGAGGAGTCATGTTTGAGCTTCAGGGGACCACCAAAACTCTGGCAGTGGTGGAATAACTCTTCCTGACTTCTTGAGCTTACCTGGGCCCACTTGGATGAATGAGAGTGGGTGTGGTGCTGAGGTGACAGACAGGTGGAGCAGGCGGTGTGTCCCCTACCTTTATACTTGGCTTTCCATTTGCTTTTTTTCTCGTCTTGGATGTGGAGTTTGTCTACTGACCAGTATCGACGTGGCGGTGGAGGTGTGAGAGGAGGAGGAGGCCAGTGTGATCCAGATCCCCACCCTCTCTCACCTCCATCTCCTCCTCCACCACTAGAACTCCATCCAACATCTGCTGTCCCCCAGCGGTCTCCTCTATCTAGGAACAGGTCGTCTCTGCTGTTGATGCTGCCTGCTTTATCCCTGGAAGGATAAGTACTGAAAAACCAACCCCCACCTCCTATTCCCCCGACTGCCCTGCCTTCATGATCCTCCCAGTACCTCTCAAACTTACCAAACTCTCCAGAGGAACCGTCATCATCAGAGTAAATCTCTGTCCCCTTGTCACGTTCCCTTTCATCTTCGGATAACATTCTTCCTCTTCCTCCAAGTCTCTTTCCACGATCTAATCTCCTCCTCTCCTGCTCAGATTCCTCTTCCTCCTCATCCTCCCCCTGGTCAGACTCCCACTCATTAAACGATAGACCTTCTTTAGAGTGAATCTCACCTCCTTCATTGCGACCTAACAAGGGCTTCCTTTCTCCATCCATTCCTACAACATCCATACCAGAACTTTTACTCTTTCTTCTTTTGGAGGAAACAGGCAACAGAGGCAGGAAGGCAGACGGTAACGTGTCACAGGCCGGATTCTCTCCACCCCAAAACTTAACAGATGTTGTAGTCTTACTGCCAGAACGATGGTAGTGCTTACGGTCCCTTCCCCGCTGACGCTTATCCTTTCCCCTGCTGTCTTCCCCATCATCCCTCACTTTCTCTTCCCTGTCCTTCCTATCATCATCATCTGGAATATTCCATCCATAGTTTCTGAAAGAAGTTTCACTCTTTTTCCTAAAAGATTCTCGTCTCAAAGATGGGTACAATGGGTAGTCTGGTGTCCCTGATTTGTGTTGATCTCTTTTTTCTGAATCTCCACCTTCCTGCTCTGATCTCTTTCTCTCTTGTTTCTGTATCATTTGTTCCCTTTTCTTTTTTTTCTTTGCCTTATGTCTTTTTCGTTCCCTTTCTCTCTCCCTTTCTTCCCTCTTCTTTTTTTTATGACCCTTCTTCTTTCTCTTCCTTACATGCTCCCTCTCTTTGTGGTGTCTCTTCTCCTCCCTGCCAACACCAGCATTTCCCCTAGGTGTTGAACCTCTCCTTCCGCGATCCCGGTCTCCCCATGATGCCCACCACTCCTGTAACTGGGCAAGTTGGTTGCTGGTTCTCTCCCTGCCATTACCTTTCTGGGGGCGTGGCTTTCGTGGAGGTATCGGTGGTGGAGGCGGACTGCATGGCAAAGAGCGGGAGGACATGCGACGGGAACGGATTTTCCTCCTCGATCCAAGTAGGAGGCTGGACTCTTCTGTGAGCAAGTCTGAGTCATAATCTTCGTCAACCATAAAATCTCGATCTCCCGCACGGTAGCGAAAACCTAATGAGGAGTTGTATGAACTGTCACTAGAGCAGGAAGAGAGAGAGTTTGATCGGGAGAGAGATACAGAGGATGAGGAAGATGAAGTGGATGAAGAGGAAGAAGAGGAGGACAATGAGGCACTGGAGCAGGAGGAGTAGAACCGGCAGGGGGAAGATGGTGTGGTAGGTGTGTGGGTCGGAGAGGAGAAGGGCACAGGAATAGGAGGTGGTGGTGGAGGGCGGCGGCTTCTTCTACCAACTCCATCGCCTACACCATACCTTCCACCACCTCTTCTTCCTAAAGGGAGTATATTTTCATACAGAGGACCTCCTGAACCTTTTCTTCTCGGCTGCACTAAACTTCCTCGCCTCCAAAAGGGAGGCCTTCGTGGAGATGATGGCATTGGTGGAGGAGGCTTCGAGACCAACTGTGTTGGGCCTTGCGGGGGAGCTTTGGCGGACAGACGTAGCATTCCTGAAGCTTTGGGACAATGGGGATTCGCTTTGGGAGTTTGCTGGGTGCCCCCTGTTTGCTGCTCTGAGTTAGACCCCAAGCCCTCTGGGTCTATAGGACCGTAGTAGCGCTTGTATTCATCCTGTCCTGTATCAGCTCCAGAAACTGTGCCTTGCAAGCTCCATGTCTGTCCAAGATTCTGCTGATACAGCTGCTGTGCCTGGTGGTCCAGTATCCCTCCAGCTATGCCCCCAATTCCCACACCTCCACTGCTACCTGCACCAATGACCTTCTCTGTCTTTGGTCTATTCCAGCGGTCCACAACTGCAAGTCTGCGATCATGGCGAGGGAGAAAGGTAGAGCAAGGCATGGGCACTTCCAATAAGGGGCTGTTTGATGGGCCCAGAGCCATCGCTGAGTGTCCAGTGTTTGGGGGTGACCCTGGTAGCATGGTGGTGTAGGTCTGGCCTTGTTGCTGCTGGTGGTGCTTCTGCTGTGGTTGCTGCTGCACCATAGCGATGGCGGTGGTGTTGTTGACTGTGGCTGTCACCAGGTGTTGCTGTGGTGCAGATGGCATGGTTGTCACAGTGTGGTACTGGGGCAGGTTGGTTGTTGTACCACCTACTGTAGTCTCATCCTCAAACTGGCAGCAACTGTACATTCCCTGGCGAAGGACAAAAGATAAAGAGACTTAACTAAGGGCAACAGAAGAAGGTGAGAGCAAAAGAAAAACAATCATGGACACTATGGAACTATGGACCTAAGAAATCACACCTAACATCTTTACCAAAGAAACCAACTGGCGGAAACCAGGATTTAGCTTGACATTAAAAAATCAGTGATTTTAGCTCAGACCAAAGTCCATAGAGAAAATCAATGATTTTAGCTCAGATTAAAGTCCATAGAGCAAATCAGTGATTTTAGTTCAGACCAAAGTCCATAGAGAAAATCA